GCAGGGTCCCAAGGCTTTGGGCCATCCTCGAATGTATTCCCAGGCCACAAGCAGGGAGCTGGATGGGAACCAGCGCCCTTATGGGATTCTGGCATGTGCAAAGCGAGGACTTTAACCACTACACTATTGCTCCAGGCCCTATATCGTACCTTTCAAAATATCACCATCCAACTTATCCGTCTATTTAAGGAAGTAAGAGCAGCTGCTCCAGTCACTCAATGAACTCCGTGTACCTTCTTTCCTCTGAAAACATGCTCATATCGCAGCCTCTTCATTGAAAGACCTCTAAAAACTACAAAGTAGAAAACGCTTGTTTTTCCATTCTTTAGGACAAGTTTCAAATATTATCTCTTGACTCCCCCAATAATCTGAAGTAAAATCTAGGTGGAAGATAATGAATATTGGTAAAGACTTGTTCTGCATGAAAGGCAGGCAATTCACTTCTCTCATTAGAAGACCGTAAAATTTGTGGATACCTGAAGTGACACCCTCGAACATTCTTCCCCACGTCAAGGTCCCTAAAGAGACATTAAATGACAGTCTCCATCACCAGGCGCTGGACATAATTTGACGGCAAGGAGTGGATCCCCTTTTCGCATCCCCAACTGTGGACACAGGAGAAAAAAATAAAGAAAGAAACAATTGAATCATTTATCACAGTCCCCTTGTTCCACATCTGGACCCTCTTCACCCTAATTAGAGTATGTATCCTATTCAATTATATAATCAGTTTTAAAAATAAAATTTTAAAAAAATGAAGAAAAATCATTTATGGATAAAGGTTCTTTTTCTCACTCTTCTCTGTTTCTTCAGTCATTGGCATAATGAATGAATCAATTACTCTTTGTTAAATGAACATGTCATAATAAGCAGCAGTGATGCAATCAACACCACATGATTCTATCATTTTCTTGGACTCCCATAATATAGTACTAGAAATGGTTTTCTCAAGGTTCTGTGGAGCTGTTGACGTTTTGGTGTGCTGAGCCGTCTCTCCTTGGTTTGCATTTGGCTGACTTCCTGATATGCTCTCATATGATGTTTCTTAGGCACTCATAGCCTAACGTCTCTTCCTCCCTTTAACAACATGGGTCAGATTGAACAAGGGCACACCCGGAAACTGCATCTAACCTTAATTATCTCTTTAAAGGCTCTATTTCCAAATGCAGTCACATTCTGAGGCATGGAGGCTAAAGCTTCAAATTATGGGGCATAATCCTGTGTTTAGGCAGTTAAGGCATGCATGAGATAAAAAGGTTTAAAACATAAGTTTAACAAGTAAAAAGAAAAAAGAGACTTTAGTTTTATAGATAATGGCTATACATAATGATTGAAGGGAAAATGGTCATTTTACCCATACACCATAAATTTTAAAGTTATCACAGATGATTAAAAGTAGAAGAGAATAAAATTATTAATTGTTGGTTTGATCAAGATATAAAACAAAGTTTTGCAATACTTGTATATGTAACAACTGATACAAATGAATTTCTTTTTGGTATTTATTTTCTTTAAAAACACTCGTTCTAGTGTCTCAAAGTCCTTCTTAGTGAAGATTTTGCATCTCTTTGAGACATTTTGGGTGTGAGAGCTGTTCTAAACCTAGAAACTGGATGAAGAAGCCTGGCTTTCCATAGAAACAGTTGATCTCGGGCTTTTGCTACTTTATTCTTGATCATTTTGGCTGTATGTTGGTAAGACTTTGGCTGGCGATTGCCATTTTTGCCTCTAAATGCTTGATGTTTCAGAGCCACTGGAAATAGAGCCCTAAAAGCACCACACACTACAGTCTCATCCCCATTCCCAATTCTGCTATTCACATCTTGCTGTCTTGAAAGTAATTCCATCAGTTTGACTGTTAAACCTAAATGCCGCCATCTCTTTCCTGGTGTTCCAAGCCATATCATCCCTTCATAACAGTGGGCCCAGTTTTGCAACCATATCTTCTACCGTAACTTCCAGTCTGTTAAAAGCAGCCACCATTGAATTTTCAGTACGGTGTGACCCCTCCTCACTGGAACGTTCTTTATCACTTTGGTGAAACTTACCTGACATGAGCTAAAGGGCTGTGATAATTATAAACATAGATCATTTAGGAATTGAATAAATTCAACATTTTTAAGAGAGAGAGGGAAAGGCTTTGTATAGTCTAGTTATTAGAAATGTTCTTACTGTAATTGGACAGGGATAATTCATGAGTCTTTTCCATGACTTGTAGGAAAAATTTCATAATATCTAATTTTATTTTCTATTATTCTAACTTTAGAAAGCATCCTCTCATTATTCACTTAGTTGCCAGATACCTTGATAATGAAAAGATAATGCCCAGAGTAGCAGACATGTAGTTCTATTTTCTGATGCTCTCTGGTAAGTGGATAAATTCAACTCTCTAGACCTGAATAACTCAGTGCTAGCAGAAGCAGGAAGCTCTTCATCTAGCATGAAGTAGAACTCTTTTCTGTTCCTGAGAGTGTTAAAGTGCAAAAACGCATGGCATGAACGATGTAAAAAAGATTTTCCACTGGGTAGGAGACAATGTCTTATGAGTATTTTTGCTTTCTTAGTGGGACCTGTGACTTTTGTCACATTAATTTTAAACCTAACGTAATTACAAGTGGTCTTTGTAAAAGTTCTTTGCTATTGTTAACAGATCTATCTTCCAAAAGACATTGAAACCTCACTCAGTGGATTTCCTGCCATTTAACTGACACTCAGCAGCCTTCAGAGATGTTACATTTGTGTTCCCTGTGGATTATTCTGAACATGAAAAACATCCGTCTATGCGAATCTGGAGCCCACATGCTCACTTAGCATTAAGGAGAGGCTTGTATACTAATATTGATTGAAAGATATTTGTACCAAGTAGCAGGTAATAGCTGTGAAACTAAATATCTTCTTACTCTGTGGATGCATCAATAAACTGAGCAGCAATTGGTGACCAAAGAGAAATTACAGAGTAGCCAGGACACAGTGATTAGAAAAGATGCAAAGCAATTCTGAGTGGAGGGATAGTCACTGCGAGTAGGATGCTGGAGTCAAACCAAGCTTTGGTTTCATGACAGAATATAGCATCTGTGAAACTGAAGATTAGACAACATGTGTCTTAGCTTCTAAGCGCAGTGGAGCTCATGTTGGTGGGATAACAGACTTTTTTGCTGTGGTGATTGTTAGCTGTTTTACTTATGTGTTTAATGCAATACCAGAAAATAGCAGAATAAGCACATGATTGATATCAATACTATCACTGCACCTTTCTGAAGCACAGATAATCACAAATGACAATTAATTCCAGTACCAGCTAACTCACCTCACTGTAGCTAGGACACAGTGCACAAAGTCTCACTGCACTTTCTGAGCTAAATGACAGGAGGAGATGCATTAGCTTCGTTGAACCTGTCATTTGTGATCCACCACACTAGTACCTCAATTTTTAAATAGGAATTCTTATAAGCATACAATTTCTCATAAATTATATATCATAGATCTTGTTTGTGCAGATAGAGATAAATATAGTATAGAAATGTATATGGCTTTTAAAATTTTTCCCATTTCACTTTTTTGATTAAATTATTATTATTATTTTATGATACATTTTCACAGGTTCTGGGATTTTCCTCCCTCCCAAAGCTCTTCCCTTCCACCGATTCCCCCTGAATTATTACAGTAATATAGTTCTTTATAAACAGTCCAAAGTCTGTCATACTGCTATTCATGTGTATTCTAATATTGCAGACTTGGACAATGGCAGGAACTCCAGCATCCTATTATCAAGATATATTTAATAGCTTCACTGGGAGTCCATCTTTGATTTGGAAGTAGAGATGCACATTGCATTGTATCGTCTCATCTGCATATGATATTTCCAGTTACACAGTTATTATACATCCCATTAAATGAAAAACCATGATCTACATCAAAGAATTGTAAAACCTAATATACTTTTAATTCCTTATGTTATTCCGTAATGGGATGGGAGAGCGGAGAAATCTTCCATCACCCTAGAAGGTGTGAGGAAGACGTGAAATATTAGTTACTCCTCACTAGGACATTGAGGATTTCTCTGCACAGCCCTCCTAAAACTGTTCTGCAACTAAACTGTTGACATATGTCTTGTTGGAGTTATAAACCAGTCTAGACTACCCGAAAAAATAGCCAGGTTCAGCAAAATTATGCTTCAGTGCTATAAAAGGCTAAATATTATAATGAAGATAGACACAAAACAGCTGAACAGTAATCTATACCTATTTTAAGATGTTTAGAGCCTGGTTGTATATGCACTGAAATTGAAATGTCAATGAAATAGTCACAGGATGTAGTTAAGAACTTGCATTTATTTTTAACATAATGGTTACTCAATACTATATCAATTAATCCCATAATGTTATAAATTGTTGCTGATGTCATGTTGGAGCTTTTAATTGATCGGGATGATACTCTGCTGGCTCTACCTTCAGAACAGAGAAGGTCTCCCCAAGAAGCCATTGAACTTGTCTGGACAATAAGATGTTGGACTCTATATTTGGTATATGCTTGCAATGAAGGAATCTCAACTGAACTTGCACTGTGGTTATGCAGCAAGGTGGAGGAATCCACCATGGGAGGAGGGTAAGGGGAGGGGTGGTGAGAATCTCAGTGCCTATAAAATGGTGTCACATAATGCAATATGTAATTAATTAAATTTTAACAATAAAAAAAACACAACAGGGAGAATAGGAAATTTACAACATGAAGTTAAATGCTTGCTACTGAATGACCAATATGCTGATGAAGAAATGAAAAATAAAATTTAAAAAAAACCTTCCTGGAGCAAGCAACGCTACCGATTAACATATGTATAAGTGGGAAAATTAATCAGAAAAAAGCCTTTTTGAAGAAATGAAAATAAAAACAAAATTATCAAAACCCATGGGCTGTAGCAAAAACAGTATTGAAAGAGCTACTGATCTTACATTGTGCGTGAGGATTATCTTATCCCAGAGAGAATATGTAATATCTGTCCTTTTGCGATTGGCTTTTTTCACTGAGCATAATGGTCTTTATTTGGGACCATTCACTTGCAAATGGTAGAAATGCACTCTTTTTAATGGCTGAGTAGTATTCCATGGAGTAGATGTACCGCAGTTTCTTCATCCACTCCTCTTTGACAGACATCTGGGTTGTTTCCAGCTAGTGTAAACTGTCCTGATGTAAATACAAGACTACAGATCCCTTTGTCATAAGCAGAATGTATATATTCTCAGAAGTGGCATAGCTGGGTGACATGGCAGATTTATTTGGAATTCTTTAAGCATTCTCCATCTTGACTTCCATAGTGGTTGTACGAGCCTGCACCCTCACCATGTCCACGCCAGCAGGTAGTGTTAGTGGAATTTTGAATGTTGACCATTCTCACTGGAGTTAGGTGGAATCTCAAAATGGTTTTCTTTTCATTTTCCTTAAGATTTATTTATTTTATTGAAAAAGCAGATATGCAGAGAGGAGGAGAGACAGAGGAAGATCTTTTGTCCTATGATTCACTCCCCAAGAGGCCACAATGGCCACAGCTGAACCTATTTAAAGCCAAGAGCCAGGAGCCTTTTTCAGGTCTCCTAAGTGGATGCAGGGTCCCAAGGCTATGGACCATCCTCAACTGCTTCCCAGGCCACAAGCAGGGACCTGAATTGGAAGCGGGGCCACCAGGATTAGAATCAGTGCCCATATGGTATCCTGCCATGTACAAGGCAGCACATTTAGCCACTTGGCTACCTTGCTGGGTCCCAAAGTGGTTTTTCATTTGTATTTCTCTGATGGCTAGGGAGCCTGTACATTTTTTTAATATGTTTATTAATGATTTGAATTTGCTCTTTTGAAAAAATATCCCTGCTCATCCCCTTTGTCCATTTCTTCACAGGGTGGTTTGCTTTGCAGTCACTGAGTTGCTGAAGCTCCATATGAATCCTGGATATTAGTCCCCTATTGGTTGTGTGTTGCAAAGATTTTCTTCCATTTCATTGCTTCTTCTTCACTGTTGATAGTTTCCTATCTACCACAACTTCCTCATTTGATGTAGTCCATTTGCTTTCTTTGGCTTTGACTGCCTGTGTTTTGGTGACTTTCTTTAGAAACCTTCCCGATGCCCATACCTTGCAGAGTGCTCCCTGTTTCCCTCTAATAGTGAATGATTTCTGGACACAGATTTAGGGTGTTCCATTTAGAGCTGATTTTTGTGTAAGATGATAGGAATGGGTCTTGCTTCTTACCTCTGCAGGTTAAGTTTGTAAGAATAAAACTTACATCTTTTGAATTAGCTTTCAAACCACTTAACGTTCACAGGAGATGTAGGCATGTTACTTATTCAACTTCCATGGATCAGCTGGAAGTTTACTATGCTCAGTGAGCATACCTAAGAATATGAGGAGCTGCAGCTACTCCAAGTCACCCAGCAGTAACAGTAGTCTGGCTATGAGCTAGCATATGATGGAAACATTTAAGCAACAATTTGAGGTAATATTTCTGACTCTGCAGAACAATAGTATCATATAAATCCTGAATTAAATTGTGAAATTTGTTTCTACAAAACGTTTTTAATCGTCATTAACATTTGCTTATATTCTAAGAATGACAGGGAGTTTACGATATTTTTCTAGATGCATTATCTCATTAAGTAATACTTTTACTTACAGGAATGATTCCTTTTTTAGATATTTTTTCACTGAAAGGCATATTATACACAGAAATAAGGTCTTCCATTCACTGATTCACTCCCTAAGTGGCCCCAGTGTCCAGAGATGAGTTGATTCAAAGGGAGAAGCTATGAGCCTTTTCTGGGTGCCTCATATGGGTGCAGGTTTGCATTCCCGGGTCATACGCTGCTTTGTGAGTGGAAAAGCTTAGAAACAAATTGGTGCTAATACGTGATTCTGGTTCCACGTAGAGGAACAGAGGGCAGAGGATTAGTCTTCTCTGTCATTTCCCTGGCCCTAGGAATGGTTCTTACATTCAAATATGCAACTTTCCAAATTTAATTTTCGAGTCTTGCTTTCTGTTGCAACACAGAAAAAAAATTTTTTTTTTTGTTCCTACTTACATGGTGGATGTTTAGCATATATTTGACTGCCCAGCACTTGAACTCTTTCTGGGTTCAGAAAATTCAGATTTGTGAGTCCAATAGTAGATAAATAGAAAAAAAAAGTTTCAGGCTCTCCTTGCTCAAGGAAGTTGATTTGGCAGCCCTGAACTTTAAATATGATACCAGTGACCCAAGCAAATACCAATCACAGCGTCTTCACCATCACAGCAAAGAGCAGTGGAGGGATTTTCAGGGTTGTGTGTCCAGGGACAGCAGTGCAGTTGACAGCAGTGCTGTGCAAGGTTCAGTGCAGGGTAAGGACTTGTATAAGCTACAGGTCAGACATTTCAGGGAATAGTAGCAGTGAGTGCTCCTCGGGATGGGATCCTTGCTACCAATAAACATTCCTTGTTTCTTCCGATTTTCAAATCTTGGTTTTTATCAGTAAATTTGTGAGCCATCCAACCCCTTAGCCATAATTCACTTTTCTATTTGAATTATTCATAGGTGATTTCCGTTGCTTGTGACCCTGGCTAATACATCATGACAGCTATTAAAATATTTGTATGCAGCTACAGCATATTCCATCATTTGATATTCACTCCTCCTCAGAGATATAACACACCTATATCCTCAGTGGCATATATTGCTAGTATTCATGTGAATGGCTGGATGAATAATATTTTTAAAGAAACCTTACAAGTGAGTTTTTTGTAATTATTTTCAATCATTGTTTTCACACATAAATGGGAGAGATTTAAATTGTTAACTAGGGGCTAATGTTGTGGTGTGGTGAGTGAAGCTGTTTCCTCCTTTGTGGGCATCTCATGTGGGCCCCTGTTCAACTCCTGCTACATGGTCATCCCATGTGGATCCCCATTTCTGATACAGCTCTCTGTTAATGACCTGGAAAGAGCAGCAGAGGTTGTTCCAGGTGCTTGGGACCCTGTCACCCACATGGGAGACCTGACTAACTGCCTCCTTGCTCCTGGTTTTTCCCTGGCTTAGCGTTGGCCTTTGTATACACATAGGGAGTAAACCAGTAGATGGATGGAATCAATTAGTCAATCTCTCTCTAACTCTTAAATGAATATTCACAAAAGTTCTTAAAACTGACACATGTACTGTTTTTAGTTTGGATATTTCTCCTTGCAAATTAAAATTTATTCACCAATGACATGGAATTGATACATGAGGTCTAATGGGAGGTATGCAGGTCATGAGGCATCTCCCCATTCATGAATGAGTGTAACTGTAAAAGGGGGTTAAAGGTAGGGTTAATCCTCTTCCACCCACTCTTCTGCCAAGTGAGGTGCAGCATTGCTTCCCTCTGGGGGGTACAGCATTCAAGGTATCACCTTGAGAGGAGAGGAGATTTCTTTACTAGATGCCAAACTTGTTCGTGACTTGACCTTATGAGTTCCCATCTTCAGAACTGGGGAAATCATTTTTTTTATATAGTTCATAAATACTGCGACTTTTGAAATAGCACAAAAGGGAGAATTTCCTTGTAGACAAGTTTCTATTTTTCTTTTAGAGGAGCAGAGCTTCACTGAAATTTCCTCCTTCATGTGGTCAGAACTACACATAAAGATAAAGTGATAGCCCATTATCCCAACAGTGAGCAAGCGGATGAACATGTCATGTCACTATAAGGAAATTATATGTTAATTGGAGTTCTCTGAACTTCTGTATAAACTCTGATTTGAAAATAAACTGCATGGATTATTTCAGACTAAGACGAGAGAATAAGAAGTTGCTCCCTGTTCTACTCCATGATAGCAGCAAAAGCTTTGAAGCCATCCACAGAACACTGCCTCTGTGGAAGTTTTGGAATTCAAGGCAAAACTTATCCAATCCTCTTGGAACCTAAACCTAAACTAGATATTTTGAAAGAGCGGGATTAAACCCAGATTTCAGGATTTCTAAACATAGCTCTGGATTCAGACCCAATTACCAGAAATTACCAGAATAATTTTCTTCTTAAACTGTTTTAAAGATTTGTTTGATTGAAAGTTACACACTGAGAAAGGGAGAGACAGAAACAGAGAGCTCTGCCATCCACCAGTTCACTCCCAAAATTGATGCAATGGCTGGAGCCGAACCAGTCCAAAGCCAGAGCCAGGAGCTTCTTTCAAGCTTCCCATGTGAATTAAGGGGCCCCAGAACTTGGGCCACCTTTTACTGCTTTCCTAGGCATGCTTGCAGTAAGCAGGGTCAGAAGTGAAGCAGCCAGGACTCAAAGTGACACCACATGGGACACCAACATCACAGTTACAGTCACATATGCCTTTGATGATAAGTCTGCCAGGCTAAGCCATTGTTGTAGGACCAGAAATGGGATTGTAATCCAGCTCTAGCCCTTCACAGTTGTCTCTGAGATAATGCTTACCGACCTTAAACCCTCTGAGAGTCACGACTCAAGAATGACAATTTCCGGCCCAAAGGGATAGTCTAGCGGCTAAAGTCCTCGCCTGGCAAGTGCTGGGATCCCATATGAGTGTCAGTTATAATCCCAGTGGCCTGCTTTGCTTCCCATCTAGATCCCTGCTTGTGGTCTGAGAAAGTAGTAGATGACGGCCCAAAGCTTTGGGACCCTGCACCTGTGTGGGAGACCTGGAAGAAGTTCCTAGCTCCTGGCCTTGGATTGGCTCAGCTCTGGCCGTTGTGAGTGCTTGGGGAGTGAAACATCAGACAGAAGATCTTCTCTGTCTCTCCTCTCTGTATATCTGACTTTGCAATAAAAATAAATAAATCTTAAATAAAACAAAAGAAAAACAAAAAACGAATGACAATTTCCTGGGTTTAACTGTGGGCCCCGACATAGCCCTAAGCCTTTACTCCAACTGTGGCCTAAGGTCAGTGCAGCCCCATCAAGGGCCCTTTAAGTGACCTAGTGGGATCTTTGCCAGGGGCCTCAAGGACAATACCTGCATTCTAACCTAGTTACAGACCTACTGTCTATGAACAAAGAAAAAAAAAGATTACAGTGCCTGTCCTTCTTTCCAAGGGTCTAGGATTGATTCTGTTGGTTCCAGTAGGTCCTTCTGAGCCATTACTTACTTGAGCTTGTGAGATTAGATCTACCCACTGCATTTTCTGCTATCGGCACAGCAGAAGCCATGTTACCTGGCTCTAATTCTGCTCAACCGTGATCCTAAAAGCAGTTCTACCATTCAGAGCATAGACACCATGCAAGCCTACAGGGAATAAGAAAGAGGCAAACATAAACCTACCAAAGGAAATGAAAAAAAGCTCAATTAAATTTCTTCAATAAATAGCTCTTTATTAACTGCCTGAAACTAATTTTAGAAAATCATCTTACGATACTGAATGAGTTGCAAGAAAATACAAAAACAAAACAACAAAAAAATGAAGCTAGGAAAACAAAGCATGAACAGTATGAGAAGCTTAATAGGATCCACGAAAGGGAACTGAATGGAAATCCTAAAACACAAGAACACATTGATAGAACTGGAAAATTCAATAGTTTTAAGAACAGACCAAATTATACAGAATTGGCAGAAATGGAAGAGGGTCATTGTATTTTAGAGGAACATTGAAAAAGTTAACATGAGTTTACAAATGTTATTTCCATTTGTTATCTTGAGATATGATTTGATTTCCCTTTTGATTTCCTTTTAACTCTTTCATTGTTCAGAAGAGTCAATTTTAGCAAATGCCTTCAGTTACTGATTTTTAGCATAATATCATTGTAGTCAGAAAAAGAGATCTTTGATTTAATTTCCATCTTTAATTTTAACATTTATTTTGTGACAACATATGAGTTATCCTAGAGAATGTTTCATGTCACCTGAGAAGAATTCATGTTATGCTGCTACTATAGTGTTCCTTACATTGATTGTGTTCATTTAAACCACAGCATCATTTAGGTCCACTGTTCTATTACTAGTTTCCTGCCTGCATGAGCTAGCTATTGTTGAAAGCAGAGAGTATGAAGTTCCTTACTGTTATTACGTTCCCATCTATTTCTCCCTTTGTGTCTATTAACATCCCCTTTGCAGATTTAATTACCCCAATGTTGGGTATGCAGTAGTTATAACACTATGCCTACTTAAGGAATTGATCTCCTTGTCAAGCATAAAATTGACCTTTGTTTCTTCTGACAAATTTTGACTAAATTCGTGGGCTTTTTTCCTGATATATGTGTAGCCATTTAGTTTCTTTCTTTTTTTTTTTAAGATGTATTTCTTTATTCATAAGACAGAGTTACGGTGAGAGAGGGAGATGCAGAGTGATCTTCCAGCCTCTGGTTTACTCCTGCTGGGGCTTGGCATGGTAAAAGTCAAGAGCTAAGACCTTCATCAAAATAACAGTGAAGAGTATGAAATATCTAGGAATAAATCTAACAAAAAATGTTTAGGTGAGTTTTAATTACTTTCACAGCTGTTTATAAGACTTTGCTGTAGAACTCCATACCGTTCCTAGAGAACCTATGTTGAGATGATTTTAAAGATTCATTTTGTAGGTAGTTGTTCGAAGAAGGAGGAGTCTTTCTACTTTAAGAGGTGTGGCAAGTGAGTAGAGATGAATTTGACTTCCAAAATGTCAGAAGAAAAGTCAAAAGTAGTTCTTATCCTCTGTCTGCAATTTGTTGGAATTATCTTTATGCTCTTAATTACATACAGCATACATATGTTTTTAAAGAGTTTGTGGAAAACTAGAATTAAAAGCTGCACTATTTCATGGTGAAAAAAAAGAAAAAGAAAATCATGTATATAACAGGTCTTTTAAAAAGTTTATAAAAATATGAGTTGTACAAGATTATGCTCAGGCTTCAAAATTTCAAATAACCAGATTAATTACATTTTCCCAAGAACTTTTTGAAGTGTGTTTACCTATATTTATATACCAATTTATATTTGTATTCTAATATCTCCATAAAATTTAAAGTGACTCATAGATCAGATTTTTACTGGCAACTTTCTAATACAGTAATTGCTCAATAATTATAATATTATTAAACTTAATATTTTGGTAGCCTTAGAATTTCATAAGGAAAGAAAAAACATAGATATAATTAGATACAATTTTTCTAGTTGTTCACTTAGAAGAGTAAGCATGAAGTTCAGGAATCAGTGGGAAAGAGGATTTGGAAAAGATTAGTTAATTCTTACTATGCTATAGTTAGGAGTAAAAATTTCTGGAATTCTATGACATAATAGGTGACTATGGATAATAATAATGTACTTTTTAACAAAAAGTAGTAGGAAAGTTTTTACCATAAATATACATGTTTATGGGGGCCATATGATGTTTCCATGTAATTCTTCCATAGGTACAATTTCTATGTATCAGTTGGAAATTTAAATTTTTAAAATATAAGTGTAACAGATTTTATGTGTTTTCCTTTTAGGAAGGGTCTATTTATATATTATGATTCATATAAAGTGATATCTTGTGGAATAGCAACTAAATCCTAAATACAAGCTAATGAACCAAGGCCCTACCTTGTTAGTAAAACCAATATACTTTTATAATGTCATATTCTCAAAGCTACTGATAAACTCCTAGCCTCCTTTCCCTGCCTCCTTCTCCTTCCAAACAGATATCCCTCATTTTCTCAGCATTTTTCTAACCTTCTTCTCTTCATTTGACCAGTATACATTGAAAGAAAAAGAATGCATTACAACTTAATAATTTAAACACAAAGTGAAAAGATTTTCTTCTGCAATTAGTAATGACATAATAAGAAATAATGCAAGCTGGAATACCTTATAATACTCATGAATTATTGCTAAAGCATATTTCCAAAAGCAAATTTTTTTAAGATTTATTTTTTCTTGGAAAGGCAGGTTTATAGAAAAGGAGATATATAGAAAGATCCTCCATCTGCTGATTCATTTTCCAAGTGGATGCAAAGGTCACAGCTGAGCTGATCTGAAACCGGGAGAAAGGAACCTTTTCCCACTTTTCCCACAATAGGGACCAGTGCCATAATGGCATCTTGGCATGTATAAGGTGAGTGTTTAGCCACTGGGCCATCACGGTGGACCCAAAAACCAGAATTTGGTCCAGTGTAGGAAGAAATGTAGAGAAATACTAAAAAAGGATATGCAAGGGGAATAAAAAGGAAATAAGTGGCTATTTTTTTCTTTCGTTCTTTTTATTTTTATTTATTTATTTATTTATTTTTAGTTTTATGGTACAATTCCATAAGTTCTGGGATTTTCCTTACCCTCTTCTCGCACTGATTTCAGCTATATTATTGCAATAGTATAGTCATTCATAGGCAATAATAAATCTATCATTCTTCTATTTAAGTCTATCCTGACATTGTGGAAAGTGGCAAAAAGTCCAGAATCCTGTTGTCAAGATATATTTAGTAGTTTCATTGGGAGTCCATCTTTGATTTGGAAGGAGAGATGCATACTGCATTGTATTCTCACATCTGGATATGATAGTCTCTATTACACAGTTACTATGAATTTCCTTAAATGACAAACCATAAAACAGAATAAAAAGGAATAAAGTTAAAAAATTATAACAACATGAAGTTAAGTAACATGCTACTGAAAGACCAATGTGTTGATAAAGAATTGAAAAAAATAAAAACCTTTGTTGAAGAAAACAATATTACTGTAATTTGGTAAAGAATTTAATAATAGAAACTACTTTTGAAGAAATGTAAATAAAAACAAAAATATTAAAACCCCAGAATGGTAGCAAAAACACTACTGAAATGACTATTGATTTTACATTTTGCATGAAGATTGCCTTATATAAAAGAGAATATATGGTATTTGTCCTTTTGGGTTTGATTTATTTCACTGAGAATAATGGTCTCTAGTTGGGACCATTTGGTTGCAAATGGTAGGATTTCATTCTTTATAAATAGTTGAATAGTATTCCATGGAGTAGATGGAAAACAGTTTCTTTATCCACTCTTCTTTTGATGCCCGTTTAGGTTGTCTCTACATCTTTGCTAGGTAGATTGTGCTGCTTTAAATATGGGATTATAAATCCCTTTCTCATATGTAGACTCCATTTCCTTTGGAGAAGGAATCCTAGAAGTGGGATAGCTGGGTTATACAGCAGGCTTATTGCTAGTACTCTTAGCATACTGACTTCCGTAGAGTTTGCACTAACCTACACTCCCACCAACAAGTTCCTCATTTTATGGGAGCCCTACTTTGTGATATTCACTGAGATTGAGAAACATGTGTTAGTATTGTTACTTCACTATGAATTCAGGTGTAACAGAAAGTGGAGCAATGAAAATCCAACTTCCTTCGTAGGTCTCTGTGACAGACACAGAAATAAAAACAGTGACTATGCATTCAAGTTCTATAGGATGAGTCAATGGATATTCTGTACCAATTGAATACGCAATGGATGTTTATTTTTAACTAGCTAGCTAACTGACTAACTAACTAACTATTCAAGATGTTGTTTCTAGCCCTTGTTTAAACTTTTGAGGAACACTAGTTTTTCAATCTACTTATTTTCAAGTTTTTTCCTGAATGAAGGATTAAGCTTATGACTAAAAGGTAAATTGAAAGCATGTCAATTTAGTTAAATTAAAAAAAATGAGAGAGGAAGGAAGGTGGGAGCAAATTGGGAAGGAGGATATATTAAGACGTATCGTTATACTCTTCAAACTGTGCATATAAAACACTTGAAATTCTTTCCCTTAGGTAAAGATAGAGCATCTTGTATCCATTGGTTCACTTCTCACAAGGATGCAATGGTCAGGACTGGGTTTTTACAAAGCCATGAACCAGGAATGTCATCCACATCTCCCAATTGGATGACAGGAGCTCAGGCACTGGAGCCATCTTCTGCTGTCTTCCAGATACATTGACAGTTAATAGGATTAGAAGTAGCATAACCAGGAAGAGTACTCACATGGGATGCTGGTGTTTCAGATAGAGACTTAACCAGCTATACCACTTCATTGGTCCTTATATTTTATTTTTAGAAATAATATGGTGGCAGAGCAGACACTTCCGCACAGTGGGTAAATCACAACGTCAGTATCTGATACAGACGCAAGTTTGAGTTCCAGCTGTTTTAGTTTTCATCCAATTTCCTGCTAGTGTGCCTGAGAAAGCAGTACAAGTTGCCTCATGTCCTTGGTCTCCAGCATCCAAAAGTGAGAGCTGGAAGAAGCTCCTGGACCCTGGCTTTAGCCTACTCTGGTACTGGCTGTTGTGGTCATTTGAGGAGTGATCCAGCAGATTGAAGAGCTCTCTGTGTGTGTGCTATTTTCTTGGTAGTTATGACTTTCAAATAAACAAACAAATCTTTTAAAAATATTCACAGAGTGACATGATAGGTGCTAAGAGGGACTAATGCAAAGACATGGGATAAATCAGTGATAAATCTAGAGTCTAAGGCGTGGAGTCAGCAACTTCTCCACACATCCTCCCTCCCTATCACATTGTAAGCAGTATGGGTTTAATAACTGCAGATTGATGGTGAAATTAGAAATGAGAATGGTGGTTTCTGTAATCTTCCTTTCAGTTTCATATATACAGATTGCCTTTATTTGGGAGGGGGCGTCATTGGATTGACTGCTCTTTATTCTTACACTATCTCATTGAATGTAGACACGTTGTAAATTAATTCAATAACAAATTAATTCAGAAGCAGTAACTTACTTTGAAATAACTCATAAATGTTCTATTTCTATTAAAAATGCCAACTATTTTAGAATTGTTAAACTAATGACAACCCTGCACTAGGTTATCTAGTTTGGAACATTGCAAAATGAGCGCTGGCACTATCCACTTTTTGAGCATGACTCAGATCATGGGTGATTAGATTAAGGGTTTCTTTAAGCATTTTGTCCTGGCATAGCCCTGATTCTTGATTCTTCCAGTCTCTTTCTGAGTAAGCTATAAAGAAATGCTGCTGAAGGCATTTCCTGCTTCTTGGTACTTTTTTTGTGATTTCTATGACTTAATCTGTGTCTTGTGTCCTGTTAACTTCTAATAGTTCTAATTGGCCAACTGTCTGCTCTTATGTGATCATAAAATCCTTTTAACATTTCACTTTTCCCCCTTTAGAAAATGTATCCTAGTTTCCAGAACATGACCTTCAGATTCTTTCACAAATATGAAGACAGAGAATTCATTCAAGCTCTCAACCACCACAGCCTCATCCGTCACTGACTCCCCACTCATTCTCCTGATGGCCCTATGGGTACTTTGCTCAGTCGTATGCTTTTAATGCCATAAAATAAGCTTGCCTTCCAATTTGGTAATTTTTTTCTTTTATTTTTTCCTCTTGTTCTACTCTGGGTCCTTTTCAGAGTTCCCTTTTAAGTAGAGAGGATTTGCTTTTCTATTCCTTTAACAATTTTGGATCCTGAAAAAAAGAGCTGGAGTTTAGCTTTACTTTTCTGCATCATTCTAGAAGCATCACTTCCGGCCTTGATCCTGTAAAACGTTAAGCAAATGTACCACCTATTAGTGGGACTGGCATTCTGAGTGATGCCGAGATTTAGAAAACAGGCCTCCTTTCTATTTGTCCTGACAATGACTCAGTTTGATTTGTCTTCTTTGGAATATACGATTATGCACTTTATTGTCCCTTCTTAAATCTCCATGTTATCTGTGAATACCTTTAGCTCCCATTTGGGGTAAAAATTGTGTGCCTAATAAAATGTAATTATTGCTTCCTATATTGTTGCTTGTCTTTGCATCCTAAATATTATTTGATCCTAACCCTGGCATTCTCTGCTTCCTTTTCAGATCATGCACATACTAAATTAGAAATGAGCTTTGTACCAGATCCCGCCTTACTTCCTCCACTTGATGTAATCCCGTCCTGTGCCTAGGTAATTAAAATCTTCCACTATTACCACCCTGCCCTTTTCTTGCTCTGTACACTTGCAAGTACGTGTGTGTGGGAATGGTATCTGATAGTTTCTTTCTGAAAAAGCAGCCTGTAATGTTGCTGTTATCACATTTTTGACCAGTATAACACACGATTCCTGTCTTTCAGTGAAGCTCAGCTCAGAAATCTCCCACTCAGGAATGATCAAATTTTCCCCATAAACAAAGCAGGATCTTTTTATTTCTGTTGATTCTTACAATCTGAGTGGCTAGACAGAGTTGTCATTAAAAGGTTTATAAAAGCCTCAGATTAATGTACTAACATTGACAAGGTTTTGTTAAACAATAATGGAACACCTTATGTAAGTAATTACCTGTGGTGGCTAAAGAACAGTTGTGATATATGCACATGTCGCATGCTTGCCGATGACCTTATAAAATGGCTGCATATTTTAAAAAGAAGCAGAGCCCTGCACATAAAGAAAATTCTGAAAAATCTAGGATTGTTTGCTGCCACTGCTTCTAGGCAACAGGCAAGAGATGTTTACAGTCTGGGCTCTCCCCTGCCCCCATCTCTGGAAGCTTTTCATCTGCTGCTGCTGCTGCTGCTGCTGCTGCTGCTGCTGCTGTGGATACAACTACAAGACCCAGTGCCCGGGTAGTGCCCCTCCTCCACCTCGCTTCAATCTCCTGTAGCCCAGCTGTTAGGGCCTATCTAAGCTAATCACCCCCTTTGCCACATTGCTTGTTTGTGGAAGTTAATGTCATGTTCAGAGAGGCTAGTGCTTCATGGAGAAGAGAGGATTT